TGAAACCTATTAGTGATATCGGGGCTGGAGTATACCATTTCTCCATTATCATCCTTAATTTTTTCTATACAATTTTTTTTATTTATTTTCCTTTAGTTTTCACATCAAAAATTTTCTAGGTCTATTCCCCCACCGATATATTTCTTTTAAGACCCTATTAAATACCCTTCTCGACTCTTGTTCCATAAGATCCTTAATTCTTCCCTTTTTATAATTACCTTCTGATACACGTCCATACCTGTCTTCTTTTTATGCAACCATTCTAATTTATGGAGTTCTTCAGTCACAACCCTTATTTTTTTCTCTCGTTCTTTTCTTTTTTTCTGCTCCCCTTGAAATAAGTATTCCTCTAACATAGGCTTTATGAGCCTCCCAGACTGTGGCCGTTGATACTTCCTCTGTCTCATTAAGCTCAAATAATTGCCCTATCTCTCCCCTTGAATAAGCATCACATTTAATCTCCACCATGGTAATTTATCTTGGTCCCCATCTACCCGGAGTCTCATTGTGACGGGAGCGTGATCCGATACAGAAATAACCTCTATATTGGCACTAACACACGACTCCAGTTGTCTATGTTCAATCATTATATAGTCCAATCTAGAATACGTTCCATGCACGGGAGAGAAGAAGGTATAATCTTTTTCTCTTGGATGCTTAACTCTCCAGGTGTCAATAAGTTGCCCTTGATAAAGTAGTTTCTTTAGTGATTTTAAATTCTTCTCCCCCTCTCTCCTCGTACATGAAGATCTCCCCCCCCGCCTCCTCGTCCTCCGCAAACGCATCCAACTGAGGATCCATACACAGATTTAAGTCTCCGGCCACAGCCAGGTTACCCTTTTTAAATTCAGCAAGCTCTCTTCGTAATCCCGCCAAGAATGCTGCTGGATTTTTATTTGGACAATAAATATTAGCCAATGTATATTCGGCTCCTTGTAGTTTTCCTTTTAGGAGTAGAAATCAGCCCTCTGGGTCCTCTTTTTTTTTTACTTCCAATATAAAACTCACATTTCTTGACAGACCAATCGCTACCCCTTATCCCTTTTAATGGGGAATTTGCATAGTACCATGTTATGTAATGCTTTGAGTTTATCTTCACTTTTGTATCGTGAATTAGATGTGTCTCTTGGAGAAATACTACATCTATGGAATGTTGACAGATTTCCCTAAGTATCTTATATCTTTTGGTAGGAGAGTTCAACCAACCCTTTCACGTTATAAGTCATAAACTTCATATCATTCATTACTACTCTAATTTTCCTGACCCACTACAGTTACTATCACCCAAAGGGAGATAGGGAAAGGACAGATACAGACGATTTGGAAAGTGGCATTTCTCCCTTCTACCCCTTCTACCATTCCCCCTATCCCCTGCTCCTCCCCTCCATCCATCATCCCGCCCCCTCCCCACCCAGCCTACATTGCGCTTTATTCCTGTATTCAATTGGTATTTTGTGGAATATCAAGACAAGTATTCATGAATAAGATATGAAAATATGAATTGTCTACAGCAAACCAGCTTGTTATTTTTAAAGGCTTGTTTTTCTCTGTGGTTATAAATGTATTTATTGTGAGTTATTATGTTCACTGAGTGTGTTATATGGATAGTGGTACACATTAGCTCAGCCCGTCCCCTGCATCTACAGGTGTAGTTATTGAATCCAATTACAGATGGTGGGTTAGGCAGCTGTGTTCCACTCTATATATTGATTTTGTTATTTTTGATATAACTAGCTATGAATAAGGTCTGTTTTTAGAGTGAACCGCGTTAGCCATGGAATATTTTTTTACTCTTTTATGCAATAAAGAAGATTTTTGTATTTACCTATTGCTGACATTTTTGGAATTGGACTTGTTATTTTTAAATTTATTTTATAAGTGACCACCTGGAATCTAAAATCCAAATGTCACTATATCGCGCCTGATGCAAAAAATATTAGCTTCTAAATAGAATAATATATATATTGCTGCCACTATACTCTATTTCAAAAATCCAAAAATATTAGTATCAACCCTATTTTAGTGAATACTAGCGGCGCATACATTTCAAAATGCTATCATTAAACATCAATTAACATTCATATTTTGTGTCAATCTTTGTCTTCACCATTACTGCTGTAACAAAAACTACATAAATAAATAAAATTAAAAAAACAACTTAGTGAATATAACACAAAATTGTGACAATCCACAATTCCCGTGACTTGAAAAGAATAATATATACAGTGAGGAACAGAAGTATTTGAACATCCTGCGATTTTGCAAGTTCTCCCACTTAGAAATCATGGAGGGGTCTGAAATTCACATTGTAGGTGCATTCCCACTCTGAGAGACAGAATTTAAAAAAAAAAATTCAGGAAATCACATTGTATGATTTTTAAAGAATTTATTTGTCTTGCACTGCTGAACATAAGTATTTGAACACCTAAGAAACAGCAAGAATTCTGGCTCTCAAAGACCTGTTACTGTGCCTTTAAAAAGTCCACCTCTACTCCACTCATTAATCTAACTTAGTAGCACCTGTCTGAGCTCTTTAAAGACACCTGTCCACCCCACAGTCACAGACGCCAACTACTACCATGGGCAAGACCAAAGAGCTGTCAAAAGACACCAGAGACAAAATTGTGGACCTCCACAAGAATGGAAAGGGCTACGGGGCAATTGCCAAGCAGCTTGGTGAAAATAGATCAACTGTTGGAGCAATTGTTAGAAAATGGAAGAGGCTAAAGACGACTGTCAGTCTCCCTCGGACTGGGGCTCCATGCAAGATCTCACCTCGTGGGGGTATCACTGATGATAAGAAAGGTGAGGAATCAGCCCAGAACTACAAGTGAGGAGCTGGTCAATGACATGAAGAGAGCTGGGACCACAGTTTCAAAGGTCATTGTAGGTAGAACACTATGCCGTCATGGTTTCAAATCATGCATTGCACGGTAGGTTCCCCTGTTCATGTCATCACATGTCCAAGCCCGTCTGAAGTTTGCCAATGACCATCTGGATGATCCAGAGGAGGCATGGGAGAAAGTCATGTAGTCAGATGAGACCAAAGTAGAACTTTTTGGTCTAAACTTCACTCGTTGTGTTTGGAGGAAAAAGAAGGATGAGTTGCATCCCAAGAACACCATCCCTACTGTGAAGCATGGGGGTGGTAACATCATGCTTTGGGGGTGCTTTTCTGCAAAGGGGACAGGACGACTGCACTGTATTAAGGAGAGGCTGAATGGGGCCATTTATTGTGAGATTTTGAGCAACAACCTCCTTCCCTCAGTCAGAGCATTGAAGATGGGTCGTGGCTGGGTCTTCCAACATGACAATGACCCGAAGCACACAGCCAGGATAACCAAGGAGTGGCTCCGTAAGAAGCATATCAAGGTTCTGGAGTGGCCTAGCCAGTCTCCAGACCTAAATCCAATAGAACATCTTTGGAGGGAACTGAAACTCTGTGTTGCTCAGTGACACCCCCGAAACCTGATAGATCTAGAGGAGATCTGTGTGGAGGAGTGGGCCAAAATCCCTGTTGCAGTGTGTGCAAACCTGGTCAAGAACTACAGGAAACGTTTGACCTCTGGAATTGCAAACAAAGACTTCTGTACCAAATATTAACACTGATTTTCTCAGGTGTTCAAATACTTATGTTCAGCAGTGCAAGACAAATTCTTTAAAAATCATACAATGTGATTTCCTGAATTTTTTTTTCAAATTCTGTCTCTCAGAGTGGGAATGCACCTACAATGTGAATTTCAGCCCCCTCCACGATTTCTAAGTGGGAGAACTTGCCAAATCGCAGGGTGTTCAAATACTTCTGTTCCTCACTGTATGAACTTAAAAAGTCCCATGATAAAGAAGAATTTAAAGTCCAGTGTTGAAATAAATTCATGTGATGCAAAAAAACATTAAAGTGTTGAAACTCTGTGCTGAGCCCACCTTGCACCCCCTATTAGGTGTGCACTCACCAGAAATTGCAGAATAGGCAATGCAGTTAAACTTAGTTCTTTTGATTCAAATAAACATAAATTTAAGATACCTGAATTCATTACGTGTGATACTACGCATGTGGTATATGCCATTAAGTGCCCCTGTAACCTTATTTACATAGGCCGGACTAAGAGCGTTCTGAAAGTGAGGATTGCCGAACATATAAAAAATATTAAAAAGGGATATTCTTATCATAATGTGTCAGATCATTTTGCCAATTCCACAGTAAAAATCCTAAAGTACTTGAATTTTGGGGAGTTGATTGGGTCCCTCCCAATTGGAGAGGATCCAATAGAGTAAGAGACTTATCTAAAAGGGAAACTAAGTAGATTCATGCACTTCAGTCTTTAGTGCCAGGAGGGCTGAATGTGGAAGTGGACATTAACTGCTTTATCAGTGATGTATAGGAGCACATTAGAATCTTTAGTTAATTTTATTACATTATTGTTTTAATTTTAATTTTATTTTTATTTAAATTTTTTTTATTTTTAGTTTTATTTTTATTTTCATTTGCATTTTCATTTTTGATTTTGATTTTATTTGTATTTGTATTTTTATTTTCATTTTTATTTTCAGTTTAATTTATTTTATTTTATTTTTGTAAATTTAATTTTAAAATGAAAAAAAAAAAAAATATATTTAGTATAAGTATGCTAATCAGTGAGAGAGTACTGTTAATTAAAATTAATGACGGTATAAGATATTATAACAATTGATGATGGTATTCATATATCCTTATACCGTATTTTTCGCTCCATAAGACGCACTTTTTTTCCCCCCAAAAAAGGGGGGAAAATGTCAGTGCGTCTTATGGAGCGAATATAAAGCGGCCGGTCCGGTATTTTTGCAGCCACCATGTCAGAATACCGGGTCGGCCGCTCAGCTGTTGTCTCCTGCAGGGCCTTACCTGTTCCTCGCTCCAGCGCTGCACAGTCTTCCCGTGCTGGCTTCTGTGACAGCCGGGTGCCCACTGCGCATGTGCTGCGCTTTGTGAATGATCCGGTGTCTTCTGGGACACATGACAGGTCCCAGAAGGCGCCGGGCCATTCACAAAGCGCAGCGCTTCTCACGCATGCGCAGTGGGCACCCGGCTGTCACAGAAGCCGGCCCGGGAAGAAGAGGTAAGGTCAAATTCAGGTACCCGCTCCCCCTCCCTCCCCAAAGGTCAGCAGTCTCTGGTCATTCCCTGCACTGTCTGCAGTCTCTGGTCATTCCCTGCACTGTCTGCAGTCTCTGGTCATTCCCTGCACTGTCTGCAGTCTCTGGTCATTCCCTGCACTGTCTGCAGTCTCTGGTCATTCCCTGCACTGTCTGCAGTCTCTGGTCATTCCCTGCACTGTCTGCAGTCTCTGGTCATCTCCTGTACTATGTCTGCAGTCTCTGGTCATCTCCTGTACTGTGTCCGCAGTCTCTGGTCATCTCCTGTACTGTGTCCGCAGTCTCTGGTCATCTCCTGCACTGTGTCCGCAGTCTCTGGTCATCCCCTGTACTGTGTCTGCAGTCTCTGGTCATCCCCTGTACTGTGTCCGCAGTCTCTGGTCATCCCCTGTACTGTGTCCGCAGTCTCTGGTCATCTCCTGTACTGTGTCTGCAGTCCATTGGTTCAGAATATTTTTTTTTTCTTGTTTTTCGCCTCTAAAACCTAGGTGCGTCTTATGGTCAGGTGCGTCTTATGGAGCGAAACATACGGTATATGCATCCAATGACAGCAATATACTGTATTAGTATTTGCACGTTTCAGTGTCAGTAGTATCATATTATTTGTCATTTATATCACATATGATATTGCTGTCATTGGCACATTAAGAAAGGAATTATAGTTTTAATGTTTTATAATGTTTGATATTTTTTGCCTTGTTATAATATACGGATGGAGCTTGGTGGTTGCCAGTAACTAATATCACTTCCTGTGAGACGGTAGTGAATGAATTAAACATAAATATCAGTCTGGTGATCCAGTTAATGTCTCCTGATATAAGCGGTAAGCTGCACCGCACCGTCACGCCTTTGAGTAATTCAGGATATGAAGAAACGCGCCAGGGCGTGATGATGCGGCAGACTGGAAGTGACGTAGAACCGGAAGTGACATGACGGCGTTCTGTCCAACAGTTTCAGAGATGCTGAGAGCACCATGCTGTATCTGCGTGACACTAGGATCTATTATTCAGGCTTGTTGATGTTTTTAATGTTGTAAGTGCATTACTTGGAGCAAATAAAGTCATTTATCTTGGGTAATATACTATTGGAGCGGATATTTTTCTTCTCTTTTCATGATATGGTGGAGTTTTTTTCTTCTCTTTTCATGATATCGTGGAGTTCAGTTTTTTCAATTATCCTGGCAACCAATCTTGGAAGGGTTATTCTTGGAGGAATCTCCTGGTCCAATTAATGGATATCCTCTTGATTATGCTTGCACGGTGGGCTCAGCACAGAGTTTCAACACTTTAATTTTTTTTTTACGTCACATGAATTTATTTCAACACTGAGCTTTAATATTTTCTTTATGAATTTATTTCAGCATTGGACTTTAATTTCTTCTTTATCACGGGACTTTTTAAGTTTATATATATTATTCTTTTCAAGTCTCGGGAATTGTGGATTGTCACAATTTTGTGTTTTATTCACTAAGTTGTGTTTTTAATTTTATTTATTTATGTATTTTTTGTTACAGTAGTAATGGTGAAGACAAAGAATGACACAATATATGAATGTTAATTTATGTTTAATGATAGCATTTTGAAATGTATGCGCCGCTTGAATTCACTAAAATAGGGGTGATACTAATATCTTTGTTATTTTTAAAGGCTTATTAATGTAAAGAACTTTTATTGTTTGATATTGAAGATTAAAAAACTTTTTTTATATATTTTGTTTGTCTTGATGTACCTCATGGGCACCTAGACTTTTGTTTCTGTTGAACTGTACCAAGGGTCAAGACTTCGCACAGCTTTCATTCATCCTGTGGGAATTAATAAGTTGGGCGCATCTAGAGTAATTTCACATATTTCATGGTGTACTTGTAAACTACAATTAAGTATCGGCATAACCTTTTGTTAATGAATCAAATAATTTTTTTTGTTAAATTTAAATTACAGTTTCAAATTACCTGATGTAATATAAAGCAATGAAATTTTAAATGGATGTACAAATCATACATGTTTACTGCTGGAACAAATGTTTATAGCTGGCCCACCTTAATAGATTTGATCCGGCATATAAACTTTGACCATCCAAAATTGTAGGACTCATTAAAGGTGCTGTCAGCAGGAAGATATGATTGCTTGGGTGTGATCAATAATCTCACAGTATACAGGTGAAACTCAAAAAATAAGAATATCGTGCAAAAGTTCATTTATTTCAGTAATACAACTTAAAAGGTGAAAATAATATATGAGATAGACTCATTACATGAAAAGCAAGATAGTTCAAGCCGTGATTTGTCATAATTGTGATGATTATGGTTTACAGCTCATGAAAAACCCAAATCTACAATCTCAGAAAATTAGAATATTGTGAAAAGGTGCAATATTCTAGGCTCAAAGTGTCCCACTCTAATCAGCTAATTAAGCCATAACACCTGCAAAGGGTTTCCGAGCCTTTAAATGGTCTCTCAGTCTGGTTCAGTAGGAATCACAATCATGGGAAAGACTGCTGACCTGACAGTTGTGCAGAAAACCATAATTGACACCCTGCATAGGGAGGGAAAGCCTCAAAAGGTAATTGCAAAAAAGTTGGATGTTCCCAAAATGCTGTATCAAAGCACATTAATAGAAAGTTATGTGGAAGGGAAAAGTGTGGAAGAAAAAGGTGCACAAGCAGCAGGGATGACCGCAGCCTGGAGAGGATTGTCAGGAAAAGGCCATTCAAAAGTATTGGGGACTTTCACAAGGAGTGGACTGAGCCTGGAGTCAGTGCATCAAGAGCCACCACACACAAACGGATACTGGACATGGGTTTCAAATGTCGTATTCCTCTTGTCAAGCTGCTCCTGAACAACAAACAACATCAGAAGTGTCTTACCTGGTCTAAAGAAAGACAGACCTGGTCTGTTGCTCAGTGGTCCAAAGTCCTCTTTTCTGATGAGAGCAACTTTTGCATCTCATTTGGAAACCAAGGCCCAGAGTATGGAGGAAGAATGGAGAGGCACACACTGCAAGATGCTTGAAGTCCAGTGTGAAGTTTCCACAGTCTGTGTTGATTTGGGGAGCCAGAGGTCCAATATCGTTCTATGTACAATCCTTGTTTTATTGATTGCATGTAATATTCTAATTTTCTGAGATTGTGGATTGGGGTTTTCATGAGCTGTAAGCCATAATCATCACAATTATGAAAAATCACGGCTTGAACTATCCTGCTTTGCATGTAATGAGTCTATCTCATATATTAGTTTCACCCTTTAAGTTGCATTACTGAAATAAATGAACTTTTGCATGATATTCTAATTTTTCGAGTTTCACCTGTATATGATGATACCAGGATAGCGGGAGAATTGGAGCTTACTTTACATATATAAAAGAGAGCCCAGCAGAATTTTGTAGGAATCTCACCTAAGAAGACCACTGTAAGTCTTGTTGTAGTGCCAACACATCTACTTCAACATAACAGAGACTCTGGGGTCCTTCTGATGACCCAGAATAGGGAATCTGCTTAACCATAGTGCATATTTGAGTACAAAGCGCTGAACTAAGTTTAGTCTGTTTCTTTGAGTCTTGTTTACAATTTGAAACCAGTGCAACATCTGGGTGAGATCCCTCTATTATTTTTTGGCAAATCCCTGAGGATCCTCCAGTTATTTTGCTATTTTTTGCAGTTTGTCTAATTCTTTCTTGCAGTAAAGTCAAGGAAACAACTTAGTAGTATATTAATGTGCCTTTTTCAAACAAGAATGCTGTGTATGCAACCTATTTACAATTGCAGAAATACAATACAAAGCATACAGAATGCTATAAATATACACGTGCCAGTGACCCACACTGCTCCCTCTGTGCCTGTGAGGGCAGGGAGAGAGAACCAGCACTGCTGTAGATGAGCACAGTGCTGCAATGATACAGGACTTAGGTAAGCATTTAGGGAGATGAGAAGGGTGAAACAACATTATGATATTTTATTTACCTTAATGCAAGGAATGCATTAAAGTGGTTGTAAAGGCAGAAGGTTTTTCTTACCTTACTGCATTCTATGCAGCAAGGTAAAAATACTTTCTGCATGCAGCTTCCCCGCAGCCCCTGTAAATACATACCTGAGCCTGATTTCAATTCAGCAATGTGCAAGGCTCTTTCTGCTGTCATTGGCTCCCACTTCTGTCAAACACGTGGAGTCAGTGACGAGAAGCAGAGGGTGGGACCGAGCCCTGTTCTGTGTCTTATGGACACACAGAACAGGGCTCAGGAGAGAGCATGCATGAGGCTTGCTATAGGGGCACTCGGGGGGGGGGGGGGATAGAGCCCAGAGCGCCAACAGGGGACCCCAGAAAAGGAGGATCAGGGTAACTATAGCATGTTTGTTATTTTAATATTAAAAAATAGATTTAAGTTAAAAAATGTCTTGCCTTCACAACCCCTTTAAAAGTACAATGTAAGGTGAACCAGGTGACACAGAGTGGAATTTGGGGGTTGGGATAAATCCTTTCATGGAGGATGGTTTTCCCCTTGGTTATTTCTACAGTAGCCTAATAGCTGGTGTCAGAAGTGGGATTGTTTTAATTGCCAAATTAACTACTTGCTGACCAGCCACAGTAGATATACTGTGACAGGATGGCACCGCTGCGCAAAATCACGTATATATATGTGAGTTTGCATTTCCGGGTAGAGGTGCTTTCGAGCGCGCGCGAGACCGCCCTACCCATGCCGCCGATCGTGGCCACGGGTGTCAATCAACGAGTCCCGGCTGGTGATTACCCGCCGGAGCCCGGTGATTACCGGCAAACACTGACAGTTTGGGTACACTGCTCGGGATAGCTGAGCTCAGCCATCCCAATCAGTGTGCTTACAGTGAAGCACACACCCCCTAGTAAAACACTCCACTCACACAGTTAACCCTTTGATTGCCTCCCAATGTTAACCCCTTCCTCCCCAGTGCCATTAGTACAGTGTCAGTGCTTTTTTTTTTTGCACTGATCACTGTATTGGTGTCACAGGGGATGTCAGTGACTACAAGTCAGTTCCCCCCAGTGTCAGAATGTCGCAGTCTCGCCATAAGTAGCTGATCGCCGCTATAAATCGCTGATCGCCACAATTATTAGTATAAAAACTAAATTCCAGTATCTATACCTGCATTTGTAGACTCTATAACTTTCACATAAACCAATTAATTTACACGTATTTGGATTTCTCTTTAGCAAAGACATGTTGCAGAATACATTTTGGCCTAAATTTATGATGAAATTTGATTTTTTTTATTTTTTTACTGTACATGTTTTATAGCTAAAAGTCCAAAAATATAGTTTTTTCTCAAAATTGTCAGTCCTTTTTTTTTTTTTATAGCGCAAAAAATATAAACCGCACAGGCGACCAACAAAAGAAAGCTAAATTCTGTTTGCATTGATTGTGGATCAAAGCAATTTATATGCACAATTTATCGCCGCCAGACCATTCGCATGGAAACCCATTACAGTTTCCGAATTGAATTTTTTTTGGAT